ATAAAATATGCTGACTGTATATTTTAACATAGGATGCTTTTTCTTTTGTTTTTAAAGCAATCTATAAAATGAGAGAACTAAACTCATTAATATTCTGTTATTAGAATTATGTGTCTTAGAGAAACAAAATCATTATTAGCTAAATCACGAAACCCTGTTATGCGTTTCTGGTGAGTAGAGACTCCTCTATAAAGGAATTTTAAACACCAGCGTTTTCCAATGCTTTTATGAAATCAGTTATTTGACAATTTTTTTGGAAGAGAAAGAGGGAAGCAGAAGTTTTTATGAATGTTTTCTCAAGGGGATAATGATGGTATGTTCTCCATGGGTCATTTTCCATATCCTTAAATTGGTATGAACGGCTGCTATAAAGAAGAAAAATTTACCAAGGCATATTTTCAAGTTTCACTTCTTATTTCTGAAAAGCAAATTTAAATCTCAAAGTCTGATGATGAAAAAACTGACAGAATCAGTGCTTTTTCTATCTGGAATATAAACATGAACTTCTAAAAGGCCAAATTCTTTTAAGATATTTTAATTAACCTACAGAAGTTAAAGAAAAAGTTTGAAAGATGTCCTCAAAGCCTCAAAAAAGTCTTTAAAAAACATAAAAAGAATATTCAAGAGGATGACAAGACAAGCCACAGACTAGGAGAAAATATTTATAAAATATATATCAGATATATCAGATAAAGGACTATTATCCAAAATTTATAACAACAAACTCAAGAAAATAAACAACCCAATTTAAAAATTGGGCAAAAAACCTGAATAGAACTCACCAAAAAGATTTCACAGATGGCAAGTAGCCTGTGAAAAGATGCTCAATATCATATATCACTAGGGAACTGCAAATTAAAACAATATGTACCACTACACGCATATTAGAATGGCCAAAATCCAAAATACTGAAAACACCAAATGCTGGTGAGGTCGTGGAGCAACAGGGACTCTCATTCATTACTAGTGGGAATGCAATGTGGTACAGCCACTTTGGAAGACAGCTTGATGGTCTCTTATGAAACTAAACATGTTCTTACATTACAATCCAGTAATAATGTTCCTAATATCTACCCAAATGAGCTGAAAACTTACCTCCACCCGAAAACCTGCACACTGATGCTTACAGCAGCTTTCTTTATAACTGCCAAAACTTGGAAGAAACCAAGATATTATTTAGCAGGCAAATGGATAAACTGTACTACATCCCGACCATGGAATACTATTCATTGCTAAAAAAGAAATGCCATGAAATGACAAGAAAGAAACTTAAATGCAGATTACTAAGTGAAAGAAGCCAATAATAAACTCTTCCTCAGAAAATCTGATTTTTAGCTACCATATTTAAGCCAGAATCATCTCTTTTAACCATAATCACCAAAGAAAGGAAGAAATTGTTTTAAGCTCAGAGTGTTGTGCAATATTGGAAAGGTCAATAAATCTTTGCTTTTGTGCTTAGATTATATACTTAGAAGACATCTAAAAGTTTTTATTTATTTAGGCAATGCAAATCTGTGGTCAATGTCTGCAGCCCAAGTCTAATACAAAGAACAAGCTTTGTTTGTCTCATATTCTCTCCTGTTTGTTAAAGTTGACAAACTCAGGCCTTAAGTTTTCTGCCCCTTATCTTTGGACTATCCTTTCACGTTGTTTGTCCCACAACCATCCTAAACATAAGCAAAAGATACCTCACACATATAACAACTTAACTCTCTCTCCTACCCCTTTCCTTAAAAAAGCAAGAGACAATCCACTTTCTACCTGAAAAACTCCTGTGTGGCTATCAATAACCATCAAATGCCAAGCCTCCTCAAATTTACATAAAGGACAAAAACTCAGTGAAGATCTTATGATTAAATGAAAGCCAATGCTGTGGTTACAAAGTGTTACAGCACTCTCTTCAGTGTAAAAATTAGAATACTTACAGAAATTGTTACAGTTGTAAAGAAGCGGCTAGTGAATTCCTTCAACTAAGAAATTATTAAGGCTTTGTGGGTTCAGAACAAATCAGAACAAATCAGGTTGAAATTCAGGGGCTGAAGAGTAGTTCGTAGTTTCTTCAAAATCACGTTTATTTCACAGATTACAGCAATAATAAAGTTATATAAGTTAAATGATCCAAAGAAAACTTAAGAGCGGTAAGTTTAATGCCCATTAAATGCTCTATAAAACTGCTTAGAGCCAAAATAATAATAGCAACAACTAGTTTACTCCCCCCATCCCAAATAAATCATGAAATTGATACTCTCACTAACATTAACTGAACACCTACTTGCCATACACTAGGAGGCACGTTACACATGCTGTCTCATTTAATTCTCAATAATGCAGGCTAACACTATTATATCCACTGTACTGATTAAGACCCAGAAAGACTTACGTAAGATCATACAGGCAATTATCAAATGACTAACTACTTGCTTTTTCCACTATAATGTCACAGTCCCTTCTGTCCTTGAGGGATATTGCATAAACTTTTGGGATAACAGTAAATAAAAACAGTTTTGTCAAAAATAAAAGGCTTTATAACAACATTTTTACAACATTCTCTGAAGCAAAGAAAATGGTGAACATTACAGCAGTCCTTGAAACCTTGATGTTACTAGAGGACCATTCTTTTACATGACAGATGTTTATTGAGACTGTACTGACAGATGTGTATTGAGCTTTGTGTTTGAATGCAAGGGATACAGAGTTCCTGCTTTCATGGAGTTTCATTTAACAAGAGACAAGAAAGAAATAGGTATGTGATAAATCAGTGGTAAATTCTATGGGAAGAAATAAAGCAGGTTAAGGGAGTGAAGAATGACAAAGATGCAGTATTTGATCAGGAGGTCAGGGAAAGTCTTCAGAATGGTACCCAGAGATTTAAGGACATCAGATCAGCAATGTGTCCTTTGCCTACTGCTCCCATTTATGGTAAAATAGTCCTGTGTTGGCACTAATGCTGCTCCTACAAGAAACTGGTTAGAATTTTTTTTGCACAGGGTCCTGGCTCAGAACTGTATATGGGGTAGTTATTTCATTAACAGTGGTATAGTGACAATTGGATTGGTGATGAAAAACAAAAACAAAAAACCCCAAGAATTCCTTTTGCACCCTTGACCTAAAAGCAGTGTTACTGCATTCATTCTAACGTGTACTTACTACCAGGTATTACAAAGTCCTACTGGAAAAGGGCAGATCTCAGGTAGGTCAGTAACCGGGACACCGTGCTTTTTGGGTAAGGGGAACCAGGCTGCCACACAGGTTGTATGAAGTATAAGCTCAATTTAGCTTCAAAACAGCTGTGTGCTCTGGTACAAAGGGCACTGACATCGAGAGGCCCCTGTGTCTCTGGTTATTTAGGAATTTCTGCCACCTTGTCCTTGACCCATCCCTCATTCCACCCTAACTGTTTAGGTTCTATGCTACAGAATCACTTTCCTAATCAAATTTCTGGTTGTATTTAAGCGGAGCAGTATACAGAGGTAGCTAGAGCCAGATGTTGGCTACATATGCCAGTTATGCCACCACTCAGGTGAAGGGAGAAGATATGATCCTAGCAGTGATGGCTCTC